CTACACTGTCGGCACAGAGCCTGCTTGGGATTCCCAGCCTCTCTCTCTCCCTTTCTTTCTGCCCCTTACCACTCATGTGTGCTCACTCTCTCTCAAACCTAAACTTAAAAATCAAAAACAAACAAACAAAAAAAAAACAAAAAAACTGGTGTCTCAAAAAAAAATTAGTGTCATAAAAAAAAAATCTATTATCATCTTTTCTTAGTTTACCCTGTAACTAAACTGATCTGATCAGCCAATAAAAGGATCAAAGAAAAGGCAAATCAGAGAGCCTAGCTAATACCAACTAATAAGTTTTGCTATTTTTATTTTTTTATTTTTTTTATTTTTCAACGTTTTTATTTATTTTTGGGACAGAGAGAGACAGAGCATGAACGGGGGAGGGGCAGAGAGAGAGGGAGACACAGAATCGGAAACAGGCTCCAGGCTCCGAGCCATCAGCCCAGAGCCCGACGCGGGGCTCGAACTCACGGACCGCGAGATCGTGACCTGGCTGAAGCCGGACGCTTAACCGACTGCGCCACCCAGGCGCCCCAAGTTTTGCTATTTTTAAACCTGAAGTTAAGAAGTCTATCTCTGTATCATACTAAATACTGATAACTTACATAAAATGTGTTCATACATTCACTCAACAAATATTCATTGAACACCCTACCATGTGCCAGCTACTGTTCTAGGTTCTAGGGATACAGCAGTGCATAAGAACAAACATTCCTGCCCTCCAGGAGCATTCTAGTTAATTCTAGAAGCAGCCTCACTGATACTATTTGTCGTAAATTACCAAAAACAAATCTAAGAACTTGAAAAATAGTCATCTGGTACCATTTAGTACTGTGGAGGCAAAAAAAAGAAAAAAAAGCCTTAAAACTCAAAATTCCAAAAATAATCAGTCCTCCAGTAAAATTAAAAGGGAAGATCTTTTAGAATAAACCTCAATGGTAAAAAGTAATCTGAAAACACCCGAACTTGAAATACCACGAATAAACATAAGCCCTTGCCAAAAAGACTTACCAATGTAACTATCAACATAAGAACCCCTACCTACTCTAAATAGTAAGACACAAATTCTTACTTCACCATAGGAAAGATAACATTCCTTGGTAACAAAGTGAAACAACAGCTAGGTAAACTTTATCCAAAGGATAAAAAAAAATGCTGATTGGAAGGGGTATGTGCCCCGCCCCCCCATGATTACAGCAGCATTATCGACAATAGCCAAATTATGGAAACAGCCCAAATGTCCATCGACTGATGAATGGATAAAGAAGATGCGGTATGATATTCAATGGCGAATATTACTCGGCGATCAAAAAGAATGAAGGGGAGCCTGGGTGGCTCAGTCGGTTGAGCATCTGTCTTCAGCTCGGGTCATGATCTTGTGGTTCGTGGGTTCGAGCCCCACATTAGGCTCTGT